TCAGGAACAGAAAGGTCAGATTAGACTTTGCTTGAATGCATCTTAAAAAAAGGACAACTGAAACCAAGATTTTTGCCACCATATAAGCGCAGAGAAATGCATTAGAGGACGGTTAAGTTAAACTCAATCATGAAAACGCTAACAGTTCAACCGATACTAAACCTCTCTTTTAAACAGTCACCAAGTGAAAAATACAATCTACTACAGAATAATCTTGAAAGACTGAAATGTAGGAAATGCTAGAACACACAATGTCATGAATATTGAATACCAAGGGGTTCTGCTCATACTCAGTAATGCCGTGCTACAGCCGCCATTTCGTGACTCAGCTTCTGCCCGTTCTCGTTCTTAACAGTAATTACAAACCTCTGCTGAATCCTCGACCCGAACATACACATTAAAATATGCATCCATACTAACCAGCTAGGTTAGTATAAGTTTTGTGCTCTTTTATCACAATTCTCACCTGTAAACAGGGTAAAAGAGATGAGACACGAAGAGCCGTGGCTTTAGTTGCAGTTGCCTCTCAAATCTGAGAGGCAGAGCCAAAAGCTGGAGAAGGGGAATGCTGCAGACCGGAGCCCTAAAGGGGAGGGAACTGGGGGGCGGAGTCTGTCAATCATTTTTTGCATCAACCAATTAAATAACTACTCTTCAATCACATTTTGCATTGGCCAACCGCAGATTAGAACGAGCTGTCCGTCATTTCTTGCATTAGCCAATCTAAGGGTCTGTCTGCAGACCTGCACTCTCAGCCTGACCTGCACCGCCAGCCGTCAGTGCCGCTCTGACACGACAGGGCTTTTGTTGGGTTTATGAGGAAAAACAGTGAAACACGAACTGTTGGGCAATAGGAGTCACAATGAATGTATATTAACATTGTCATACTGATGAGATAATTAAATATGGAAACTTTCAAAATAAAAGCTACCATGACGATAAAACATAATGTCGGGTTCATTCGCAGAAAAAAACAAACAGGCTACTGAAACTCATGAAAACCATGCTGAAGACAATTAGAACTGTTAGGAATAAAACCTGATGGTTTTGCTTCCTAACGGGAATTGGCTTGATGGTTGCCTTTAGAGACCTTTAGGAAACAAACAACTGCATATGGAATCAGTCCCAGAACACCTAATTAAACGATCGGAATCCTTTACACTGTGATATTAATCCATCAGGAAAACCACAAAAGACCATTAGCGACTACTGGACACCACCAGAAACCAACAGACACTTCAGCAGAGGTTTATAATGTACCATATAAAATAAAATAAAATAAAGCATATCACAAATGTGACAACACTTTGAGGATGTCACACATGGGCATGTGTGGCTGCAAGTGGAACTGGGTCACTGGTGTTTATTCATGTGACTGCTGATAGAAGTAGCAGGACAAATTCTGAAGTGTATATGCCTTAACAAGCTTCAGTTAGTTCAGAACGCTGCAGCCAGTTTTTACTAGAACCAGAAAGTTTGACCATATCAGCCCAGTTTTATCAATCTTACACTGGTTACCAGTTAAATTTTGCATTGATTATAAAATTCTCTTACTGACTTACAAAGCAGTAAACGGACTCGCCCCTCAGTACCTGAGTGAACTTCTCTCCCACTATGAACCATCCCACCTACTTAGATCACAAAGTGCTGCTTACTATTAGTACCTAGAATTAATAAAGTTACGTCAGGGGGGAGAGCTTTTTTTTCATACAAAGCCCCCCGGCTTTGGAATAGTCTTCCTGTTAATGTTCGGGACTCAGACACAGCCTCAGCGTTTAAGTCTAGGCTAAAAACTTACTTGTATAGTCAAGGCTTTGGTAATTAGTTTTCCCTGTCGGTTCTATACCTGCCAGAGTCTCCGCTGCTCTGCTAACACTGTAATTTGTGATCAGTCACCCATTACAGAACTGACTCTCTGTGTGTTTTTCCTTTCTTTTCTTTGCTGAGTTGAACAGCTGCCCATCCTGTGCGTTTGATGCTGCTGCCTCTTCTGCCTTGATTGGTGCCACTGCTCGCCAGCCCTCTGGACCGGCTTACCACCATTGAGCCTCTTGCTGTACAACGCCATGCAAACCTCACCCTCACAACCTGAACCCACTGATGCTACTGCTGTTGCTGCATGAACTAAACTAATTAAAATTAATCATTTGAACTAATCAAATTAATCAATCACCCATTACAGAACTCACTCCCTGTGTGATTTTCCTTTTTTCTTTTCTTTGCCGAGTTGAACAGCTGCCCATCCTGTGCGTTCTGATGCTGCTGCCTCTTCTGCCTTGATCGGGTGCCACTGCTTGCCATGCAAACCTCACCCTCACAACCTGACCCCACTGATGCTGCTGCTGCCGCTGCTGCTGCATGAACTAAACTAATCAAATTAATCATTTGCTCTACCTGTTTTCCCCGTTTTTCTACTATAATACTTTATACCAACAATGTTTACTATCCGGTGTCAACCAGAGGAGGATGAAAACAAAACAGAAAGCAGAAAGACCCACAAACAAGCTGCAACTGAAGACAGCTGCATTTCAAAGGAGCATTTGGTGATGTCTATGGGTTTCAGGCTTCAGGCAGCCAAATTGAAAGTTGAAAGTTTAAACTTCAATCACATTTTGATCTTAATTTCAAATTTATTTTGGTGGTGTACAAAGTCAAAATTACCCCAATTGTATCACTGTCCAAATACTTATGGATCTGGCTGTAAGTTAACACATTATTTACAGAAAAGAGTTTCCACAACTGGCAGAGGATTCCCCAGACCATGGTATAGAGTCACTTAGCTAGCCCAAAAAGAGTCCTTAGCCATGTGGGGGAGGTCTCACTCTGCCTGGGAACCCTCACAACTATGGTGTTGTGTCACACAGGTGGTTGGCCTGGAAAGCCTCAAAGGGTGGAAAAGTCCTTAGCAGAAAAAGGGTAATGTTTTCTTTGCAGTGAAAAACTACCAGTAAAGGCAGCCCCACAGCTGAAATGCAGTGTCAACCAAGCAGCTGGCCCAGGCAGCCACTTATCTGCAATGTAATGTCAAACAGGTGACCGCTCCAGGCAGCCTTGTAGCTGAGATACAGCGTCACTCATGCAACAAACCAAAGAAGCTTCTGAGCCATGGGTGGACCATCACTCTTGACTGCTACAGTGGAGGAAATAAGTATTTGATCCCCCACTGACTTTAAAAGTTTTAATACAAAAAAATAAATGATTCGTCTCTTAATTTTATGCCAGCTTTATTTTAACAGTGACACATAGAATATCAAAAGAAAAACTGAGAAAATTACATGAAATGAGAAATAAAATTAATTTGAATTTCATTGAAGGAAATAAGTATTTGACCCCCTAGTAAAACATCATTTAATACTTGGTGGCAAAACCCTTGCTGGCAAGCACAGCAGTCAGACGTTTCTTGTAGTTTTTTATAAGGTTTGCACACACATCAGGAGTAATTTTGGCCCACTCCTCTCTGCAGATCATCTCCAAATCCTTAAGGTTTTTAGGCAAGCATTGGGAAACGCAAAGCTTCAGCTCTCTCCATAGATTTTCTATGGGATTGAGGTCAGGAGACTGGCTAGGCCGTTCCATGACCTTGATATGCTTCTTATGGAGCCACTCCTTTGTTTCCTTGGCTGTATGTTTTGGGTCATTGTCGTGCTGGAAGACCCATCCACGACCCATTTTCAGTGCCCTGGCGGAGGCAAGGAGATTGTCACCCAGGATTTTGGGATACATGGCCCCGTTCATCTTCCCGTCGATGCGGTGAAGTTGGCCTGTGCCCTTAGAAGAAAAACACCCCCAAAACATAATACTTCCACCACCATGCTTGACGGTGGGGATGGTGTTCTTAGGGTCATATTCTGTATTTTTCTTCCTCCAAACACGTCGAGTTGAGCTGAGGCCAAAGAGCTCAATTTTGGTCTCATCTGACCACAGCACCTTCTCCCAGTCTCTCTCGGAGTCATTAATATGTTCATTGGCAAACTTGAGGCGGGCCTGGACGTGAGCCTTCTTGAGCAGAGGAACCTGGCGTGCACTGCAGGATTTTAAACCATTACGTCTCAGTGTATTACCAATGGTTTTTTTGGAGACTGTGGTCCCAGCTGCCTTGAGATCATTAACCAGCTCCTCCCGTGTAGTTCTTGGCTGATTTTTAGCCTTTCTCATGATCGATGAGACTCCATGAGGTGATATCTTGCATGGAGCTCCAGGCCTAGGTCGATTGACAGTAATGTTGTACTTCTTCCACTTCCGAATAATTGCACCAACAGTTTTCACCTTCTCACCCAGCTTCTTACTTATGGTTTTTAGCCCATTCCAGCCTCCTTGTATAGGTCAGCAATTTTGTCCCTGACATCTTTAGACTTGCCCATGGTGGAGATGTTGGAGTGTCACTGAGTCTGTTGGCATGTGGCCTTTTATACAGGTGACAATTTGGGACAGGTGTCTCTCATGCAGGTAACGGCTTCACTGAGATTAGGGTGTGTCAGTGGTGTGGGAGCCAACATTAGTCATGGTTTTTAGGGGATCAAATACTTATTTCCCTCAATGAAATGCAAAATATTTTTTATTTAAATATTATTTAATTTTCTAGATTTTCTTTTTGATATTCCATCTCTCACTGTTAAAATGAAGCTACCATAAAAATCATAGACTGTTTAATTATTTGTCAGAGTACAAACTTTCAAAATCAGTGGGGGATCAAATACTTATTTCCTCCACTGTATCTTAGTTGATACAATGACAAACTCCTCAATCGGCAAGGAAACCATAAAAAAACACTCAAGCTCTTGGGTTCAAACTTTTGATTAAATTGAAGATCTAACAATGACCACTTATTTGTAAAGTTTCAGCTAGGAATCTTTTGCACTTTTTATGTGTTATATAACTAAGGTATCCTACACTGCATATGTATGTGAGTTTAAAAATGAATATAGTTTACTATGAAAGTGTATTTATTGTGCTGTCCAGATGGCCCACAATAGTCTACTGATAATCTTATGTTTTGACAGAGCCCAGAAAGAGAACTCAGATATTGCCAGGAGAAACTTGGAGATCATATTAAAGGTGTGTTTATGTGTGTGTGTGTGTGAGAGAGAGAGAGAGAGAGAGAGAGAGAGAGAGAGAGATCAATGGTCATGTAATCTGACTCTAATGAGTAGTGCTTCTGGGTTTTTCTCAATTATTATAATGCAATATAAATCATAAATTCATTTGCCACCATAACTGGGGCTGACCATTGTTTCATGCCAAAGATTTCCTTATTCATTAGATTATCCCAAAACTGAAACGTTGATTTCTAGCATTTAGGTGTCCATCTTTAACCTTTGTTTTTAATCTCCAAAAGCTTTATGTAACATGATGCCACATGACATAAGTGTTGGAAATTGAATTTTGGAAACAAAACCAGTAAAAAAAATCATCTGTGATAACATACAAACAATTAATAAACACATTGTATCTACTATTGTTTGTACTAATACTAATATTAATAATAATGATTATGATGATCATAATGATGCAGACTCCTTCACAGCCATAACAGGCCCTGTTTCTCTATATTTTATCCTGAATCAGGAGCTGGAGCACAAAGTCATCTCTCTGGTGAAGAATCATTTGAAGATGTTTGTGAAGCTGCTGAGTCTGGATTACCCAGCATGTTCTGAGAGAGAGGTAGTAGATGAAGAGGATCAGAGCAGTGTCAGAGAGGGGGTGCTGAAGATCACACTGACCGTCCTGAGGAACATGAACCAGACTGAACTTGCTAACACACTACAGACCAGTAAGACATCAGGGTCGCATGATTTCTCATCATATAAATTAATTTACATAATTAAATTGTCATGATAATGTAATAATAATAATAATAATACAGAAATATTAGATTTCATTTAGTGATGTCACTGTCTTGCATCATAATTTATTTATGGAAATACTAAAACAAAATGTTAACATTTAACTTGTATTGTTATTGCCACTGCTTCCTCTTTTTATTAGCACTGAGTCCTTCTTGTACTCAGAAGATGAAATCAACACTGAAGGAAAAGTTTCAGAAAATTGATGAAGGAATCTCAAATTCTGGAACCTCAACCCTTCTGAATGAGATCTACACAGAGCTCTACGTCACAGAGGGAGGGAGTGGAGAGGTCAATAATGAACATGAGGTCAGACAGATTGAAACAGCATCCAGAAGACCAGCAAAACAGGAGAAACCCATCAAATGTAAAGACCTTTTTAAAGACAAATCTATCAGAACTGTGCTGACTAAAGGAATTGCTGGAATTGGAAAAACAGTCTCTGTGCAGAAGTTCATTCTGGACTGGGCTGAAGGAAAAGCAAATCATGATGTCCTCCTCATAATTCCACTTCCTTTTAGGGAGCTGAATTTAATGAAAGAGAAAAAACTCAGTCTGGTGGATCTTTTTAATAAATTTTTCACAGACACAAAAGAACTAAAACCAAGAGACTATCATCACTACAAAGTCATGTTCATCTTTGATGGTCTGGATGAGTGTCGACTTCCTCTAGATTTCCAGAACAGTGAGAGCTTGTGGGATGTAACACAGTCAGCCTCAGTGGATGTGCTACTGATAAACCTCTTCAAGGGGAATCTGCTTCCCTCTGCTCTCCTCTGGATAACCTCTCGACCAGCAGCAGCCAATCAGATCCCTCCTGAGTGTGTTGACCTGGTAACAGAGGTACGAGGCTTCAGTGACCCTCAGAAAGAGGAGTACTTCAGGAAGAGAATCAGTGACCAAAACCTGGCCAATAAAATCATCTCACACATTAAGTCTTCAAGAAGCCTCTACATCATGTGCCACATCCCAGTCTTCTGTTGGATTGCAGCCACTGTTCTAGAGAAAGTGTTGGGTGGAGCAGAGAGTGGAGAGATCCCCAAGACTCTGACTCAAATGTTCACCCACTTCCTGATCTTTCAGATCAAACACAAGGACCAAAAGTACCATGGGAAATGTGACACTGATCCTCAGCAGACTAGAAGAATTATAATGGCCCTGGGGAAACTGGCTTTCCAACAGCTGGAAAAAGGCAATCTGATCTTCTATGAGGAAGACCTGAGACAGTGTGGCATTGATGTCAGAGAAGTGTCAGTGTACTCAGGAGTTTGTACCCAGATCTTCAGAGAGGAGTTTGGGCTGCATCTGGGGAAGGTGTTCAGCTTTGTGCACCTGAGCGTTCAGGAGTTTCTGGCTGCTTTATATGCATTTATTTCCTTCATCTCCAACAGCAGAAATGCTCTGCTAACTGGATTTTATATTTTCTTCAGAAAGCCCACAATGTCTAACTTCTTCAAGTATGCAGTAAATAAGGCCTTACAGAGTGAGACTGGACACCTGGACCTTTTCCTCCGCTTCCTTCTGGGCCTCTCACTGGAGTCCAATCAGACTCTTTTACAAGGCCTACTGACTCAGACAGGAAGCAGCTCTCACAACAAAGAGGAAACAGTCCAGTACATCAAGAAGAAGATCAGGGAGAATCCCTCTCCAGAGAAAACAATGAGTCTGTTCCACTGTCTGAATGAACTGAATGATCATTCTCTGGTGCAGGAAGTCCAAACATATCTGAACAGAAGTGGGACCAGTGGTGTCAGTGGAGCTGAACTCTCTCCTGCTCAGTGGTCAGCTGTGACATTTGTCTTGCTGAATTCAGAAGAAGAGTGGGATGAGTTTGATCTGAGGAAATACAATCCATCAGAGGAATGTCTTCTGAGGGTTCTACCAGTGGTCAAAGTGTCCAGAAAAGCTGTGTGAGTACTTAAATTCAGTCAGCCTTAAATTGTACTAGACTGTTTTTCTTAATTTTAACCCAAGTAATGCATTCTAATTTTAGACATGTTGATGCTTTCATTCTCTTTACACAAAATCTTCCTGTTACTGTGTGTCAGTCAAACCACATCTCCATGCTACTCTATCTATCGTACAGACAACTTCTCCAGCAAGCTTCCCCAGTAAGTAAAACCATGATATGCTGCAGAACATATCGCAACTAGAAACCTTGGATAAATTGCAAAGTCCAGTCCATGCTATGAACTCACTCCACTGCATCTGTCTCAGGCATTGCGAAGACAACAAAAGGACCAGATATGACCTGCATAGATCTATCAAAGAGGCCAAGAGACAATACAGATTAACGCTAGAGCGATTTTATTTTAGGAATAAGTCTTGTTTATCCTGAAGCTAAAAAAGCTTGTTTCTGCTATTTTTGCACTAATAATTAATCATGGAGATGCCATTACAGCAAAAAGACTTTTATGTGCAGCTGATACAACAACAAGAAAGCAACTTTAAAGAATTTGTTCAATTCATCATGGAGACCATGAACAAAAGGGTCGATGAACTGGTTAAAGAAACATATCAGTTAATGGTGAGCTTGCAGTTCTCCCAAAAGGAAATCGATGAAATAAGACATGACACTAAAAAAAATTAAAAATGACTTTAAAGTGATGCAATCTGACATAAAATCCATGTGCGAGTCCATGTTAACAATGACGGGGAAGATGGACTACTTGGAAGGTCAGTCTAGAAGAAACAATGTGGTTCTAGACGGCATTCCGGAAACTCTGAACGAGAACTGAACAGAAACAGAAACAGAGGACAAAGTAAAGATAGTAATGTCAGAAAAGCTTAACATGGATGTGGAAAAAGTTGAAATTGAAAGAGCTCACAGAACCAGGAAACCGACAATAATAAAGCCAGACCACGTTCTGTAGTGGTAAAGTTTCTCAGGTTCAAAGATAAAACAACCATCTTAACTAACTCCAAACACCTGAAGGGAAGCAACATCTACATCAGTGAGGACTATACAGAAGCTGTACGTCAAAAGAGGAAAGAACTTATTCCAGCAATGAGAGCTGCAGGAGATGGGGAGAAGTAGCATACATCAAGTATGAGACACTCGTAGTCCATCTTCCCACAAAGAAAGAAAAGAATGAAAAGGATGTACAGAGAACAAGAGGTGTGAGTCCAGCTGTACGTACATAAATCAGAACACATGCACAGACAGATGACGTGAAAAATTAATAAGAACAGTAATATGAGGTGTAGCAAAAGCTGACAAGGACAGACCCATCAAATGTCTTCCTTAAACAAATTACCAAAAAAGGGGCTGAACATAGCACACCTCAGTATATATATTGTCTGAGAAATAAAGTTTATGAAATATCGGAAATACTGAAAGAATATGAATTTCACGTTTTAGTAGTCTCAGAAACACACCTAGACTCTACCTTTGATAATGACATATTATTACCTTTGATAATAATTTATAGAGCCATAAAAGAGTGGAATTCCCTACCTAAAATAATGTTTAAAAAACTGATAAAAAACACTATTTAACAAATTTAGAGATCAGTTAAGTAGGTATGTCCTTGGCAGTTGGAAAAACACTATGGTGCATTGGGCAGGAATGTAGATATTTACCAGAATATAATCACAATATAGTTTCAGTATTCAATCGTCTTTCTTATGTTATGTTATGGTTACATTGTCTACTTTGTATTTTTTTTCTCTTCTCTCTCAGTTGATTTTTTACTCTTGTGTTTGTATGACTTGTATTGTTAATTGTTACCACACTATTTTTGTTATGTATGATATGTCTACTGGACCCCAGGAAGAATAGTGGTTATCACAATAGCAGCTAATGGGGATCCTAAATAAAAATTACATGCATGCACCTTTGTATTGCTTACACACATTAGGCACCGTTTATCATGGTGCTTTAAGATTTATTACTAATTATCAGTTGATTACTCACCAATGTGTTCTTTAAAAAAGAGCATTTTTTATCCTCATTGACTACAAATAGGCTGATTCATTTGTATACTTTCATTTATAAATTTATACTTGATTTATCACCTTCTTGTCTATGTAATTTTATATATCAAATAGGATCAGGTGTGCACTCTCAAAATATGTGTGCTCTTAAGATTCCCACTGTATGTACTGAATTAGGAAAATAAGCTTTTAGTCATGCCAGACCACCTGACTGGAATTTGTTACAGAAAGACAAAAAACTTCAGGAACTTGTGTTATGGAATTATTTAAAAACATTCTTCAAATGGGATAAGTGGGTAAAACTTGATTTATTGGTGGTTTATTATTGAATTTTCTGTATTATGTTAGTAAAGTGTTTTGTGAGAACAACCTGTTATGTGTTGCTGCCTATCTTGGCCAGGACTCTCCTGCAAAATAGATTTGGTTAAATAAGGAAATAAAAAAGTACTAATTATAATAATGTATTAAAACGATGTGGTCCAATGAGGAGTAAGACATCATGCCCATATACTATCTGGACCATAGACTGCTGTTACAAAGCGCATGTTTCCGGTGGCGCAGCGGGTAGCTGCAGCGGCTACTTCAGGAACAGCAAAACTGTGCTTTTTTTGCTGTTTTTGTCTACTATATGTCATGTAACCCGACCAAAACTATATATCATGACTACTTCAACCAGCACCAGCATCTACCATCGCCAGAGTCTGCTACAGCTGAGAAATAAGCTTCAATCTCAATCTCTACTTCCAAATGAACTGTGGGAAGAGCTGCGCGAGCTAGGCCTGCTAAGATCCACAACGCTGCGTGAGCCTGCTGGCTGAAAGCAATGCGCGAGAAGGCGGAAGCAAAGCAAGCGAGGCTGGGTGTGCGCTAGGCTAATGGCTAACCCCAGACGACCAGCCGTTCCAACGCTTCTTCTCTCAAATGTTTGTTCCTTGGAGAATAAATTGGACTACCTCCAGATTCAGCGGGCTACCCAGCATGAGTTCAGAGACTGCTGTGTTTTCGTTTTTACGGAGACATGGATGACGAGCTCAACTCTGGACTTAGCCGTTCAGCTTGACAGCCTGTTGTGCTTCCGTGCGGACAGAGACGCTGAGCTGTGCGGTAAGACTCGAGGTGGGGGACTGTGTGTTTACATCAACACTGAATGGTGTAGAAACGTGGCGCTTAGTCTCTAGTCACTGCTCACCGCTGGTGGAGTTTGCAATTGTCAGAGCCAGGCCATTTTACTTACCAAGAGAGCTAAATATGCTGTTCATAGTAGCGGTGTACATAGTTCCCAGTGCTAATGCTAATGCCGCACTGAGCGAGCTGTACAGCGCTATCAGTGATCTCCAAAATATGCACCCAGATGGACTGTTTATTGTTGCTGGAGATTTCAACCATGCAAATCTGAAGTCAGTGCTCCCCAAATTTCATCAGTATGTGGACTTTGCAACCCGTGGGGCTAATGTGCTGGATCTTGTTTACACAAACATCCCCGGCACGTACAGGGCTGAGCCCCGCCCCCACTACGGCTACTCAGACCACATCTCTGTGATGCTCATTCCAACATACAGACCGCTCATCAGACATGCCAAACCAGAACAGAAGTAAGTGAGAACCTGGTCACCAGGAGCTATCTCTGCTCTTCAGGACTGTTTTGAGCACACTGACTGGGAGATGTTCAGAGAAGCTGCAACTTCCGGTGACTCCATCAATCTGGAGGAGTATACAGAATCAGTGACTCGCTACATCAGCAAGTGTATTGATGAGGTTACTGTCTCCAAACTCGTCACAACTCACCCCAACCAGAAACCATGGATGACTTCAGAGGTGCGCATGCTGCTGAGAACCCGTGACAAGGCTTTCAAGTCAAGGGACAGAGCAAGCCTCAGGATAGCAAGAGCCAAGCTTTCCCGGGCCATCAAAGAGGCTAAGCGTGCCTACTCAAAGAAAATCCATGAACACTTTCAAAACACTGCTGACACACGGCGCATGTGGCAGGGCATCCAGGCCAACACTAATTACAAGTCACCTCCACCTGCTTGTGACAGTGATGCCTCCCTTCCGAATGCGCTAAACAACTTCTATGCTTGGTTTGAAGTACAGAACGTCACAACGGCGAGGAAAACCACACCTCCTCCAAATGAACAGGTACTGTGTCTGTCCACAGCTGATGTGCGGAGAACTCTACTCAGAGTCAACCCACGGAAAGCACCAGGATCCGACAGCATACCGGATAGAGTGCTCAGAGATTGCGCCGCACAGCTGGCTAATGTTCTCATGGACATATTCAACATCTCTCTGAGCACTGCAGTCGTTCCAACGTGCTTCAAGTCCACCACCATCATCCCTGTGCCAAAAAAGTCTCCAGTGTCCTGCCTCAATGACTACTGTCCCATTGCACTCACTCTAATCATCATGAAGTGCTTTGAGAGGCTTGTCATGAGGCACATTAAAGACCAGCTTCCTCCTTCACTGGACCCACTGCAATTTGCATATCGCTCCAACCGCTCTACAGATGATGCCATCTCCACCACACTCCACCTGGCTCTCACCCACTTGGACAATAAAAACACTTACGTCAGAATGCTGTTCATAGACTTCAGTTCAGCATTCAACACCATCATCCCTCAGCAGCTGATTGGAAAACTGAGCCTGCTGGGCCTGAACGCCTCCCTCTGTAACTGGGTCCTGGATTTCCTGACTAAGAGACCTCAGTTAGTCAGGATAGGTAATAACATCTCCAGCACCACCATACTGAGCACCGGTGCCCCTCAGGGCTGTGTGCTCAGTCTGCTGCTGTTTACCCTGCTGACTCTTGACTGTGCTGCAAAGTACAGCTCAAATCACATCATCAAGTTTGCTGATGACCCGACTGTGGTGGGTCCGATCAGCAAGAATGATGAATCAGCATACAGAGAGGAGGTGCAGCGGCTAACAGACTGGTGCGGAACCAACAACCTGTCTCTGAATGTAGACAAAACTAAGGAGATAGTTGTTCACTTCCGAAGAGTGCAGGGTGACCACGCCACACTGACCATCACTGGCTCTGCTGTGGAAATCATCCAGAGCATCAAGTTCCTCGGCATCCACATCACAGAGAACCTCACCTGGTCAACACCAACTCCATGGCCAAGAGAGCCCAGCAGTGCCTCTACTTCCTATGGAGACTGAAGAAAGTTCACCTCCCCCCTCCCATCCTCACCATGTTCTACAAGGGGACTGTGGATAGCATTCTGAGCAGCTGCATCATCGCCTGGTTTGGGATTTGCACCGCCTCCGACTGCAAGACCCTACAGCGCATAGTGAGGACAGCTGAGAAGATCATTGGGGTCTCTCTCCCCTCCATCATGGACATCTACACCACACGCTGCATCCGCAAAGCCACCAGCATTGTGAACGACCCCATCCATCCGTCTGGCAGAAGGTACTGGAGCATCCGTGCCATCACTGCCAGACTCTGCAACAGCTTTGTCCCTCAAGTGATTAGGTTTCTAAACTCACAAGGACTGAACCCCCCACTCATACACACCTCTTTTGATGCTCTACTTACACTATCTATCTGGAACATTGCTGCCAATACTGTGTTTACACTGTTTACAACCTCAGTAATTATAATTGTTTTACTACCTCAGTAACTGCTGTGTATTGTACATTATCTGACATAACTTACAGACCACATCACGTTAAATATGTCTGCACTTTATTCCACTACCTCATGTCCAGAAATCTATGCTGTGTCAGTGCTACACTGTCCGGTCTGTTTACTGTGTCTAATGTCTGTTTAATTTATTGTATTTATTGTATTGTTTTCTAGCATGATTTTGTTTGCATGCTGTCTGCACGTTCGCACACTGTAATTTTGTACTTTTGTACTTTTTGTTCCTTGTTGCACCTTGTTCCTGGTGGAATGTAATTTCACTCCACTGTGTACTTGTACATAGATGGAATGACAATAAAAGCCTCTTGACTTAACTTGACTCATTTTGTGCATGTGCAGATGAACACATTTACACGTGATGCAGTTTGTAAACTCTGTTGCCCATTGGGGTTAATCAAATGTAATAAACAGCTGTATTTCACTCTCACTTTCTGTCATTATTGACATCAAACTTGGAGAGGAAAGAACACAAGTTTACCTGATTGCTATTCCTGCCATTCACTCTGATATGTTTTTTTGAGCAGATGGATAATTCCACTTCATCCTCTCATCCTTGACATGATGGGGGGTAGGGCATGTGCATAATTTGCAGGGCCCTAAGCAATGCATAGTGAGCCTATAGAGCTGACTGGCTCTGATAATACTTTGTGCCATTTACATTTACATAGTAATTAAGTTGCTATTAATAGGGGTCTGTTATTATATTTTTTAAGTAAAAAAAGATATCTGCTCTATTAACATTTTGCAAATATCATATTTACACTTTTTGTTTACCTCTAAAGTAGACCATCATTCAAGATAGAAGTTTACTTTATCATAGCTTATGATAATCTATAACAATAACAGTATCTATCCATGATTTTCATTTTTCAAACGCAAATTACATAAAGTACAATTTAATTTTTTTAAGAACTGACATCAGATTTTGCAGTGTAAATAGATTACATGTTATTCAAAGTTAAACTGCTGGGTTCTTACTCATAGTAAGATCTTGGCACACATCACACCAATAATCCATCAGCAACATGAATAATGTAATTCATTTTTATGTGTTGGAATTGTAAATCTACTTTGAATATGAGAAAGAAGTACACTATATTTCCAAAAGTACTCACTCGTCTGCCTTTACACGCATATCAACTTGAGTGACATCCCATTCTTAATCCCTAGGGTTTAATATGATGTCTGCCCACGCTTGGCAGATATATCAGCTTCAACTCTTCTCGGAAGGCTTTCCACAAGGTTTAGGAGTGTGCTTATGGGAATTTTTGACCTTCTTCCAGAAGCACATTTGTGAGGTCAGATACTGATGTTGGATGAGAAGACTTGGCTCGCAGTCTCCACTCTATTTCATCCCAAGGGTGTTCTATCGGGTTGAGATCAGGACTCTGTGCAGGCCAGTCAAGTTCTTCCACACCAAAGTCGCTCATTCATGTCTTTATGGACCTTGCTTTGTGCACTGGTGCACAGTCATGTTGGAACAGGAAGGGGCCATCCCAAACTGTTCCCACAAAGTTGGGAGCATGAAACTGTCCAAAAACTCTTGGTCTGCTGAAGCATTGAGGGTTCCTTTCACTGGAACTAAGGGACCGAGCCCAACTCCTGAAAAACAACCCCACACCATAATCCCCCCTCCACCAAACTTTACACTTGGCACAATGCAGTCAGACAAGTACTGTTCTCCTGGCAACCACCAAACCCAGACTCAGCAGATCTCTGTGCACTATGCACCTCAGTCATTTTTGGCCTGCCACTTAGTGGCTGAGTTGCTGTCATTCCCATTCGCTTCCATTTTTTTATAATATCACTGACAGTTGATTGTGGAATATTTAGTAGTGAGGAAATTTCATGACTGGACTTGTTGCACAGGTGGCATCCTATCACGGTAGCACACTGGAATTCATTGAGCTCCTGAGAGTGACCCATTCTTTCACAAATGTTTGTAGAAGCAGTCTGTTTGCCAAGGTGCTTGGTTTTATGCATTTGTGGCCATGGAAGTGATTGGAACACCTGAATTCAATGATTTGGATGGGTGACTGAAAACATTTGGCAATATAGTGTATAAGGGTACAAACATTTTTGTGCTTATTTCTAGATGCAAGATAAAGTAACATCACTCTATCCAAAATTCCCCTGTTTTACAAGCACTATTTGCTGTATTTACTCTGATTTTACAGATTAGCTGGCTGTCATCTTACCACAACGTCCTGTCAGAAACTATCGTCAGCTATACAATCAGTAAACTCCCCCCTGAAAGAGCTGGACCTCAGTAACAATAAATTGCAGGATTCAGGAGTGGAGCTGCTCTCTGCTGGACTGAAGAGTTCACACTGTAAACCGGAAATACTGAGGTGAGCTTTCTGTAAATTAAATATTTAAGAATAAACGTTAAGCTCTTATATTTCATATATTTTAATATCACTAAGGGTTCTGCACACATATCAATAATCTATCAGTCATGTGAGGAATGTAATTAGTTTTAAATGACTAGTAAATATAAAGCAAATTTGAATGTGAGAAAGATGTATCAGGCTACAAACATCTGGTGTACTTATTTCTTATTAAAAAGTTACAGCAACACATAGAGAATAATTTTATTCCATTCTAATTCCCTTATGCAAATGTACCGAATACTGCATTTTCTGTGTCTTACAGACTAGCAGGCTGTAATCTCACCACAATATCTTGTGAAAAACTGTCAGCTCTACTATCAGTAAACTCCTCCTTGAAAGAGCTGGACCTCAGTAACAATAACCTGCAGGATTCAGGAGTTAAGCTGCTCTCTACAGGACTGAAAAGTTCAAATTGTAAATTGGAGATACTCAGGTGAACTTTCTGTGAATTCAGTCCTGAATGGAAAATAAGAAACAAACAATAACTGAAAAGGCTAATATCATTTTAGAATTCTACAGTATGTCTCTGTGTTTCTGTTAAAGTTGTAAAAAACATATTGATGAATATTTAGGGTGTTGTTTAAACAGCTTCTTGAGTTTCTTTCATTGTATTCATAAGTCCTTGTCTCAGTCTTCTGTATGATCTGCTGTAATTTCTTTTTCTTGGCAGACTACATTTCTGTAATCAACAGCTCTCATTAATGTTACACCTTCTAATTTCTCTGACGTAAATGTACCAAGTACTGTATTTTCTCTTTTACAGAATAGCTGGCTGTAATCTCACCAAATTATCTTGTGAAAAACTATCATTAGTTTTACAATCAGTAAACTCATCCCTGAAAGAGCTGGACTTCAGTAACAATGACCTGCAGGATTCAGGGGTGATGCTCCTCTCTGCTGGAATAAAGAGTTTACACTGTAAACTGGAGATACTCAAGTGAGTTTTCTGTAAATTTGATATTTAATAAAAACATTAAGTTCTTATATTTAAAACATTTTTTTTTAATTTCCAGGAATGATCACATACACATTAAAAGTTGGTGGCTTTTGGTGAAATTTGCTATTTTTAATAATAAACATGCTATTGCATCTGCTGCACTCTATTGCAGCATTGGTTAGAATGCCCAAACTAATAATTTCATTGTACAAGTAAACTGGTTGTGCATATTACAATAAGACTTTTGAAACTTGCACCTATTGATTAGCTATAACTTTCTTAAATTACACAGTCATGCTTTTCATGAGCTCCACAACATTGCCTGACTTCAGCTTAATTTGAAAGATGCTGAAATAGTAGTTCATGCCGTCATTGTCTTACATTTAGATTACTATACTTCTCTTTTCTTTACCATTTCTGGTAAGACTCTACACTGTGAAAAGTAGAAATTGACAGAAGTTGATGACATTCATCCCTCCGGCTTTGAGACCTACTTGGATTCCATCTCCCAGAACCCTCTGGGTGATTATGTGACTCCTGACCCCTTCCGCACACTAAAATCTTCTGCTGAATACTGATGTGTTTCACAGGTTGCTTATAGATAGTGTTAGTATAAAGCCCTGGCTTTTACAGTTAGTCATTGTGAGGTACTGCTTCTTTTCACAGAGCTACTGAGCGTTTCTATCCACTGTTGTGTTTTGCTGATTCTGACCATTTTCGACTTCTCCTTTTGCCTGACACCTTTTGGAGTGTTTGCTGATTGTTACATTTGTCTTTTTGAGCTTTGTGTCCTTTTTGGATTTGAACTGTGCCTGTATACTGACTATGATTCTGGATTTCGATTCGAATAGTAAAACCTCTTTTTCCTTTTTTCCCATGAGCATCTGACTCATTCTGTTGTGTTACAGAATATCTCACCACCAATGCACATGGCCGATCCGGAGTCTTTACAAAAATCTCTCGTGGAGCAAGGCCACTTGTTGGGCTGACATCTGCAGGGTTTAGCTGGGGTAACACATTCTGTTAACTCGTTGGCACATGAACAGTAAGTGTGAAGGAGCTCACCAGTCAACTTCAGACCATGAGCATGAGCACTTTAGAGCCAGAGGCAAGTTCCACCAGTTATCTGTCTCAAACAGAAGCACTGAACTCTCTGTTTCCTGTGAGTAAACTTATAGAACATAAGAACCCATAGAACATAAGAAGTTTAAAGAGCCCATGCAATGTGACTCATCCCGATTATCCAAGGAGGAAAGGCTCCATTGCCTGAGAGAAAACCTGTGTCTGTATTGTGGTGGTGCTGGTCATCACCTCTGTGACTGCAGTCAAAAATCTATTTTCTAAATATTTAATTTATAATGTAACATTGCCAGAACGCGAAAGGCGAAACTTGGAAGTGGGTAAGTGCAGCGCCTGGACAGTCTGTGGCGGCACATAACAAAAACACACATGGATGAGTGAGAAATCTGACCGGCTCCCTCTGCATTAAAGCCAGGTTAGATCAGGAGTCTCAACCCAAACGATAAGAAGATCCATTTTGTCCTTTCAACAAAAATCAAACCACCTTGGGAGCCACAACATTTAATGTTCAGTATGTGTTAATGTCCTAATTTAGGCTAAACAATATAAACAAAAATGCGGATTTACTCTGCTCTGCTTTAAGCTTTATCTATGGCTGCTTTTCTTAAAACTCCGCCAGAAAACTTTTCCTCAAAAGTTGAATAGTTGCTTCTAAAATGTGCTGTTTTACGAGGCTGAAGTTGCTTTTCACTCGCCAGCATCTTGCTGAACTTTCCCGTTCCACCTTAAATTCTGACCGAGGCGCCGAATGTGAATGCAGCACCATTTAAGGTGGAATGGGAAAATTAGAAAGAGAAGCGACTTCATCTTCACAACTTTTTAGTGTTTGACAGTCTCTCACTGCAGATTTAATGTACCAGGAAACCAACAGCGCTGCTTATAAATGCAAATAAGTCCGTTCATCTCCAAATGTTCGTCTTTCTCTTTTCCTTTTCGTTCGCTACTAGCAAGGCGAAATCTCATTGCTACGTGAGAAACACCAGTTCTGAGTCGTTGCGAAACAGGGCTTTCGCACCCCACACCCCCCCTCCCCCAATCACGAGACCAAAACCAAAGTTATGAAATCACTAAAGAATATATAATGTGCTGCGTGGTCATCCATTACCACTGGATCTTATTTCACCGTAACTGCACATTTTATCACACACACACACACATATATATATATATATATATATATATATATATATAGATATATATATATATATACATATATATATATATATATTAGAGCTGGGCAATATGGCCAAAAATGTTATTATGATAAACAAACTTCATATTGTTCGATATCGATACACATCACGATAAATGTCAAATCATTATTTCTTTCAAATTGAAGGCTCTTTTTTTACTCCTGAGTGGTTAATTGCTGTTTTAAACTATCCTTTATTGTCAGAACATGACAAACATTCACCAAACAGTGGAACATTTCACAAATCTGTCATGGGAGAGTGGGAGAAAGTGTCTGGTGAGCTGTTTTTACCAGCTAGAAAAGCACAGCCGCAATTTTTGTAATAGTCATAATTTAAGAAAGAAAACAGATTATTTTTAGCTGTCTGTTGATGAGTGCTAGGCTAACCAGTTACAAATGTTAAATAAGTGGCCAACAACAGTGCTGAACTGTTTAGTTTCTTAACAACATCAACTTAGTATGAACAGCAAATATTAGCTGGCTCGGTACATCACAGTATTCAAACACCAGCCAGCAGACCAACTGGGGTTCTCTATTCTGTTGTAGTATTTGAGGGGTGAACCGCAATATATCAACACCAGACAAACGGTGTCCTCCTTTTAGGTATGTTTAAACTGAAAGCGGTGCTTTTGTGTCTTGTTTGATATACAGTATTATCAATTCACCATGTTGTGTGAGCGACAGAGCTGCTTCAAGTTAGCCAGCTGCTTAAAACAGCTAGCCTGGAAAGATAATGTTCTCTCACTTTCCAATGGCTCACAGCTTCCTCAATTTACCTTTGTTTAAATCAGAGCTGTAACCTGCATGAACCCACTTCTTTCTTTCACTTTCATTGCTTGGGAATGCACTTATACTTAAACATGAGCGCTGTAACAGTGCTTTAGTTGTGAGGGGCAGACGTCATTTAAGCTTGTTAGGATGTACAGAAAGAAGTCAGTTCACTTTAGGACAGTATAGTTACGCCACTTATCTCGTCACTCACACTTGGTCACAAGAGAACAGATCACCGGTCGCTCCACTCAAATAGCGAATGTATAACTCTACGTTTCAGATGTTGCTAAAGTATATTTGGCGACTTATTTTACTTGCCACCCCCTCCCTCTCTAATCATGTTGAAAAACCCGGAAGTGCGCCCTCTCCTGGTGAGTAGTGTCGCTTTCATTGCAGGAGAAAATGCCACCAGGACTGTTGCTAGAACGTGGAAGAGTGAGAATGATCTATCACATACAAAACTTATTGAACATTTCTAAAGTTATATCGCGATAATTATTGTTATTATTTATTTACTACCTGTGCTCACTGCCCCTAGTGTGTGTGTTCACTAGTGTGCATGTATGTGGGTGTTTCACTGCACGGATGGGTTAAATGTGGATGTATAATTCTTCTATGGGCAAACACAGTTGGCTAATGGTTCTGAATTCCAATTCCAAGAAACTGTTGCACAGTCTGGCTGTGAGGTCCTGAATGCTGCAGTACCTTCTTCCAGAGGGCAGAAGAGAGAACAGTTCGTGTGGGGTCAGTCACAATGCTAGTGGGTTTTCGGATGCAGTATGTTGTGTAAATGTCCGTGGTGGAGGGGAGAGAGATTGCAATCATCTTTTCAGCTGTCCTCACTACTCGCTGGAGGGTCTTGCGGTCAGAGGCATTGCAATTTCCAAATCAGGAAGTGATGCAGCTGCTCAGGATGCTCTCTATAGTGCCTCTGTAAAAGGTGGTAAGGATGGTGGGTGAGAGGTGACTTTACACCAGTCTGTCAGTCACCGCACCTCCTCTCTGTATGCTGACTCATCGTTCTTGCTGATGAGACCAACCACACTAGGGTCATCAGCAAACTTTATGATGTGGTTGGAACTGTGAGCTGCTGCACAGTCATGAGTCAGCAAAGTGACAGCAGAGGACTGAGCACACTGCCCCAAGGGACTCCAGTGCTCAGTGTGATGGTGTTAGAGATGCTGCTCCTGATCCAAACTGACTGAGGTCTCTCAGTAAGAAAGTCCAGGATCCAACTGCAGAGGGAAGTGTTCAGGCCCAGCAGGCTCAGCTTTCTAACAAGATGCTAAGGGATGATGATGTTGAATCCTGAACTGAAATCTATGAATAATAATAATAATAATAATAATAATAATAATAATAATTTTATTTATATAGCACTTTTCATGCCGGTGGCAGCAAAAAAGTGCTTTACAGACAGGTGATTAAAAACATAGTTATAGATAGATCATTA